AGGTATGATGTGGGTGTGGGGTTGGGGACTCATTCAATATTGCAGCACATGGAGGAGACTGGAGAGGAGAGAATCAAAAGATGGCTGCAAGGTTTGAGACTTGAATACTAGGTCACCAGGCAGACTAAGAATTTTATGAAATGAACCATCTTCTATTATATAGGGAATGTGTTCCAGTTCCTAAAATCTGTGAACATCCTTTTTCTTTTTGCTGAAAAGCATTTTACCTTTTGTTTTTAAAGGACTTGTTACTTCTACCACGAGAGGGAAGCCAGGCTGGAAGCATGTCTTAGCTAGCAATACGTGGGCAGTGTGTTCTTGTACTAGGTGCAACTCTTCAGCCCCAACCAGGAGAGACGCCTTAGAGAATATCCACAGAACATCAAGTTAGATACAACACTTTCTCCAGAAACTTGCAGGTTTCCTAGGCCAAGTTTTCTAGAGATACTATTGAGATTTGGCAGAACTGTGCAGTGCCCACAAGTGTTTAAAGCCAAGTTGTGAAAAGCATGCTGTCTCTCTCCTCTAGGCCAGTGGTGGCAAACCTACAGCATGTGTGCCGCTGCAGGCATGCAGAGCCCTCTCTGTCAGCACTCAGCCAAGTGGCCTCAGCAGCAGCTGAACATCAGAGAACAGCTGGTTTTTCTAAACTAAAATCTCAGTATTGAGTTTAATTTCAGTGTTGGCACTTTGTGAAAAGTAAGTGGGTTTAGGGTTGCAGTTTCTGTACTTGTTCTCTGAAGGGTTTGCCATCACTTCCCTAGGAAGAAGCAGTTGTCAGTAAAAGAGATGTGGTGGTCACAATATTTACATGAAGTATTTATGACTTCTGAAAGGCCATCTGATGCCACTCATCCTTTTGATTCTGGGACCAGTGACCCTGGTGATTTCACTCTGCTGTGATGTCCCAGGGAACCTTGCATGGGGGAGTATGGTCCATGTTGAAGCTCTAGAAAGAAACTTCCAGCCCCAGAAATACCCAAGTCCTCAGAATAATCTTTCCAAGGTTGGCTGTCAACCAAATTTCTGCACCAGAATTTACCAGCCTGAAACCTAACTGGCCATTATTATCTGAATTTGCCCCCAAAGTGCCAGAGGCTTATCAATGAACCACACACTTGAAATTCATCCAGAAAAGATACATCATGACTTATGATTTCTGAGGGTCCCGCAATGAGTCCAGGGCCAGCTCTGGACTGTCTCTAAGAGTCCGTCATTGTACAATGTTGCACCTGTCCTCTCTGCCTGTTTAGGCCCCTCCATGCTCAAAACTCAGCTCATAAGCTCCAGTTTTGAGGGAAAACTTCTCCACTTAAAATTACTAATATCTTCTCAGTACCTATTTGAATTTTGTTTATATGCCCCAAATAATATTTATTAGTTTGCCTCAGTGTCAAGAATTACCCCCTACTACACTTTAAGCATGTTGATGGAGGGACTGTGAACTCACCTCTGTTTATGAACTTCTGTCCTCAACACAGCCCTCTCTCATCCAGTGCCCGAGACATTGTATTTAAAACCAACTATTATTAATTGAAACTTTCAGGATGATTGTACTTGCAGAAGCTCATGTAATGCACAAAACAACTCAAAACTAATACTATTTTTAATCTCTATTTTACATAACTTTTGATGCAGAATATCCACTTATAAGAATTTATCCTATAAGTATAATTGTGCATAGGAAATTAGCCCACATAGGAAGTTATGTTTATTTCAGGAATGATTGCAATAGGGTGGACACGCAGTAGGGGATTGACTAAATCATCTATGGAACTTTATTTGATAGACTCTGGCAATTATTGGAAATAACGTAGTGGCTCTGCATGATCTAGTATGGAGGGGTCTCTAAGATATATAGCCTAGAAAAAAATATATATATACTTATTTTTATCAGTATTTATGATATATTCATCATGGGGAGTTGGTACATATACGTATCGTATCTTAGTCCTTTTTACTAAAATATATTTTTAATTACAAGAAAGTCATATAGATCAGGGACCCCGCACCTGTGAAGGAACCAAGTCCCACAGCAGAAGATGAGTAGCAGGAGAGAAAGAAAAGCATCATCCATATTTACAGCTGCTGCCCATGGCTTCCAGCACCATCTGACCTCCACCTCCTATAAATCAGCAGCAGGGTTGGATTCTTCTCACAGATCTGCAAACCCTTCTATGATCTGCACACTCAAGGGATCTCCCTATGAGGCTCTAATCCTAAAACCTATCTTAGTCCGTGGAAAAATTGTCTTCCATGAAAATGGTTCCTGGTGCCCAGTAGTTTGCAGACCACTGGTATAGATAATGTGTATAATAGGCTGCTGTATGTATGAAAAGTAATGTATTTGGGCATATGTTTGCTTATCTGTGCACAAATTGTCTCTGAAAGGACACAAAACTTGCTCTTAGCACTCTGTCCTCAGAAAGGAGAACGGGTCAGGCTGCTTTGGGGACCACTTTGGTCTGACTGGTCTCACAGCTCTGTCTGAGATCCATCCATCGGCCACATTCCTCAGTTCCTACGCAGGAGTTGCAACACCACTGACTTTAAGAACTTCATTTCTAAACCTAATGGAGGTTGAGCCAGAGAAATACATGTGAGAGAATCATTCCATAATTTAGCAGGATACTAAAGTGCTTTCTTCTTAATTCGAAACCCAAACACTGAGACTGTGCAATAAAGGCAATCATGTTAAGGTGTTTAATTATGATCTACAAAGGCTACAGACCTCCTGGACACCCTGGAGAGTGACAGCAGACTCTGTGTCCCCAGGCTCTTCCCATGGGGTGAGTGTCCCTGAGGCTCCTCCACAGACTCCAGCTGAGCTCCCAACCTGGGCTTTCAGGCATGCTGATTGCTGCTATTTTTGTTATTTTCAATTTCTTTGATGCTGTGCCATTGTCCCTCCTGTGGTTGCCCTTTTCTGATCTTTAGTATTTTAATTAATGTCATTTAATTATACTTGGCCCCTTGAGGCTTTTTAAGGGATGAGTTCAGTGGAGGGGACTGTGTGATTGAATTCTCCAGTATTTTGCACTTTTGCCATCAAGAGCTTTGCCCCCAGGGGCGGATCCAGTCATCTTCAAGACATCTCACCTGCCACAGGACGTGATGACAGGACTGTTATGAAGAACTCCTGCCTGACAGATGAAATGATACTTTTTATTCCATGGGTCCAGCCTGAGGGACGAGGGTGTTGTATGATTGGTATTGTAGGAGAGCAACATTCTGCCTCTGGCTTTTCATGTTTTTAACAGAAGACAGATCAACAGGAGAAAAATACACCATTTATTTAAAATAAATTTGTGTGGCACAGGAACCTTCATAAGGAAATGAAAACCCAGAGCTCAACCTATGTATACTGAATTAGACAAAGAGTAGAAACTGGGGAAATTGAGATATAGTGAAGGGACTTTGTATGGATCACTGGGTGAAGTGACCAGGAAGAAAAGGTTGGGGTGACAAGATTTGTTCATGAAGATTCTTCTTGGTGGTCTCTACTCCTGTCATTGATGAGAATGACACTTTCTTCCTGGTCTAGGGAGTAATATTTTATGGATAATTTTATTTCTTGCTCTGAATTGGAAGGAAGATCACAGTGATCTTTTTGCACCTGCTGCTTTTAAAATGACTTTATCTCAAAATAGTTAATGCATCATTATAGCATATTTTGGAGTGACATGTCCTAAACTCCCTCAGTATTAAACTTAACTCACTATATCTGTGTATAGTGTCCATGGGAAGCAGTCTAGATGCAGCAACAGCCTCTAGTGAGGTCACATTCACTGTACCAGTTGACCAGGTATTATGCATAACATGGCGTCATACCCTGTGCCTTTCTGATCACCTGCATCTAACTCCTTGTGGTGAGGAGATTTCTCCCCAGAACCTTCTCTGGCTTGACCAGGGTCCTCTGGGGGGTCTTCAGCCTGACTGCTCTCTGTCTGGTTTTATTCCCTCAGACTTTCAGACTTGCCATCTTTTCTGATGTGATGCCAAACTCTCCTCTCTCTCTCTCTCTCTCTCTCTCTCTCTCTCTCTCTCTCTCATACTAGGGATTGAACTTGGGACATTTCGCTTGCAGGGCAGGCGGTGGAAACACTGAGCTAAATCCCCGGCCCCCTTGCTTTCTCTCTTCACAGCCCTACACTCAGCACCAGCTGAGGGTCTGCAAGGGATGATCACAGTCACTGTTTTCCTTCAAACACCCCAGATATTGGGTTGATAGCCCAACCAGTTGTCAAGTTGATAGTTTAGTCAGTTACTGTAGGATATCCAGTCGCTTGATGAGGGCACAGCAGGGGATGAAAGAATAATACACAAAGAAAAAGAAAGAATAAAGAATGACAGTTTATTACTTGGGTGGCCTGGAGTTGATCTTTAGCTCTTTCCTGGCTAAAGACTACCTGATCTTAGCTCTGTCGTGGCTAAGACCACAAGCACCGGATTAGTCAGTATTAATGATTATACAACACAGGAAGGGGGATGGTGACGGCAGATGTAAAGAATAGGAGAACTAATACACTTAATGAGCCAGGCTTGGAAAAAGAAGTAACTATGTCTACTCGTGAAGGCCAGGTCATCGTTAACAAGCCACCTGTGTTATCTTGCAGGTCATACCTAACAAGCCACCTGTATTATCTAGCTAACATTTGATCTTAGAGAATGGTAGCACAGAGTCATAATTCCTGAGCTGCAGTGTTTCCTTGTTATAGAGATATCACAACCTCATTGATCATTAAGACCTCAATTGTGACCTTTGGCATAGGAAAGTCTCTCTCTATACACCAACTGAAAGGTCAATTAGCGATTTACACTTAGGCCTTGGAATGACTCATAATCTTAATCAGTAGCTGAATTCGTAAGCCAAATCAATACCACCTAAAGCCTTCTCTGCGCAGTTTTCAGAATGATCCCAGAAGTACATGGCAGTGGCCCAATGGGAGCAAGCAAAGGCTGACATCCTGGGCTTGTCACAGTAAAGGAGTCAGCGCCATCTCTCACGTCAGCCAGACTGAAAGGCAGGTGAGGAATGGGAGAGCTTTCTAGTGATGTGAGGGAAGGCTCTGGTGTGCTCTGAGGGAATCTTTTGGGATGGGAAGCTGCAGACTGCTAAGTAGAACAAGGACAACCCCTGTGATGCAGGGGTGGGGATGCCCTCTGTTTCAGGGGAGGGGACGCGTGCTGTGCAGGGGAGCAGGCATATTCTGCTTTCCCTGATGAACCTTAGTCAGAAGCCAGAACCCAAATCAAGGAAGCTGTGGGTTGTTGATGAGTCCTGACTCCCTCAGCTAGTTGTCACAGAGTTGTGATCTGATTCCTGGGCTAGCAGCTGTTGGCCTTGACTTCTATAGTTTGATAAGATTCAATATTATGAGGAGAAAAACTATAGTAGATTTTCTTCCCCTCAAGATTCCATATGCAAAAGAAGGAGAGAAGACATCCAGAAAAAAGATACATTGTATCTTAGGTAGGCTTGTATGCTCATTACCAAAGTAGTTCAGACAACCAACTGGAACTGTGGAAGTGGAGGGGAGTTTGAGACTGTGTCCTAGAATATGGAGCTGCAAAAGCATTGGTAGTTGATAGGAATGGCTTACTGAGTGCTCACTAGGGACACATGTAGTTGCAATAAGAATCATCTATGATATAACAGGAAGATTCAGAAGGCTGGAGAAAAGGTAGAAATTCACAACTCAGGAATAACTACTAAAAGTACCTTAAGCTAAGGATATTTAATTTCTGTCATATTACAGAGCCAAAGAAAGGCGGGTCAAAGGTAACATAGGGGCTCAATGACTTGTTGAGATTCTCCCTCTGTGTTCATGCTTTCCAGTCACCCTGCTGTCTTTTTAATATGGTAGCGTGTTCTCATGGCTCCCAGATGGATCCTGCAGGTCTGGGTATCCCAGCTATGCTCAAGGCAGAAAGACACACAAAGGAATACCTCATCTGCACCTGTCCAGTTCAACAGGAAAACTGAAACTTCCCATGTACTTACTAGCAGACCGTCTCTCAAGTCTTCTTATCTCGGGCTGAAAGCCATGGAAACTTCAACTCCTCAAGGACACTGGAAGTTATGTGTGGATACCCTGACCAGAAATGAGGTGCTGGGTACATACAGAGTCACCACTGAGAGGGCTAGGACATTGCAACTTACACAGAACTGGGACTCTGGATGTGAGAGCCGGGCAGATGGAAGACACCTGCGTTGTGGCCGACTAAGATTCTCACTACTCAGGAGCAAAAATGGGTAAGAGGAGGGTTCTGGGACCACTGGCATCAGGTCCTAGCATGAGGAATTTTCACTGAGTTCAGTAGCTGTTGGGGAAGTCCTGGAACCATTGGTTGGGGGTTATGAGAAGCAGACATTTCCTGGCTAGCAGGGACCTGCTTATTCATCTAATCCAACCACTGCTTAACAGCATAAGGTGAGTTTCACAAACACATCCTTTACTTTTCTACTGTAAATTTTTACTTTAGCATAATAGTAGCCAGCTGTGCATCCAGTACCTTCCCTGAGGGATACAATCTTTGTGTTTACCCACTTGGTATGACAAATGGCAAGGTGTGGGCACATGTACAAAAGTGTCAAACTGGGATTTTCACCCACACAATGCTCCATCTAACAGGTTTTGTGTATGTTTACCTGAGCATCACGGAGGACATAATACACTCACACCGCTCTAAGATTTGTTTTTTTAGAAAGTTTTCTTTTGATTTTTCTGGTAGGAGTAGCCCAATTCAGTATAATGGAATCAGATTGCTCATGCATGGATGATCCATAATGGCGAAATACAAGTTTTCACAACAGAAGAGTGGTGTGACTGTATGGTGATGATGATGATGATTTTGAATTTGGCGATGTAAACTAAAGTTCCTGTGACAGTGAAATGGAGCAAGAATTGACTGATACAGACACAGGGAATGCAGACCTCCTTGATCAGATGATGAAGAATACAGCAATGTGAGTGCATATTTGACTAGTTGAAATGTTGCAAAATGGCCATGCAACTAAATGGAACAGTGTAATGTTAAAACTAGGTCCAAAATATAGTAAGGATCTTGGCAGGGATGAAACCTGTTGGACAGAATGCCAGCACTGCCACTTGGTGTTTGCAATCATAACAGATGAAATGCTACAAAATATTGTGAAATACACAAAGGCTGTAATACAAGTAAAATGTTCCATATGCACCAGTAGCCATATTAAAAAAGTTTTTATTATGACACCTCACTAGCTGAATTGAAAGCATTCATAAGGCTACTGTATTTAGCAAGGATTTCTCATAGTAATTGCAAGAATGTAAAACTTATGGAAAACTGATGGGTCAAAATATGGCATAAAAATTTATGCCCTTGTAGATGCAAAGACTTATTATGCTTTCAATTTAGACATTTATCATGGAACTCAGCCATCAGGTCCTTATTTGTATAGTAGTAAACCAAATGATGTTGTGAACAGACTTGTTGTTCCCATGTCCCAAACTAATCAGAATATGACATGTGACAATTGCCTTGGCAGTTTTCAATTGATGTTACATTTGCTAACAGAGTACAAGTTGACCAGTACAGGAACTGTACACAGGAGCAAAACACAAATTCCAAATGAAATGTTGTAATTTTAAAACAGGGAATTGTATAGTACAGTCTTTGGATTTCAGAAAGGTTTATACTGGCCTCATATATGGCAAAGAAAAATGAACTGGTATTGCTGATGTCAACATTGCAACAAAATGGAAATGTATGATGGAAACTTTCTACAACAAAACCAAAGGTGGAGTAGGTGTTGTTGATGAGTTATGCAGTAACTATGATACCACTCAAAACATAAAGCATTGGCCAGTGGTTGTGTTTTCTTTTTTTCTTTTTATTGAGTTTATTGGTAAAATCTAGGTATACAGTGCAGTTACGTTCATTATTGGGATCCTGTACCTTTACATGACAGGTCTTGGTTCTCATTTTTTCCCCTTATCCCTGCCCTCCCTTCACCTCCTCTTCCCCTCCCCATTTACAAACACTTTATTTTCATTTTTTCATATTTTTTTCTCTCCCTTATTACCTTCCCCCACCCTTCCCACTTTCCCTACACCTTTAGCCCTTTACTTCCTATTTCACATTATTAATTATCTTATTAGGATCTTGTGTGCTATTGTAGTTTTTCACAGCAGAGAAACTATTTGGTATTTCAGTTAAAGAAATTTCTGTATGAATATTAAAAATAGAGAATCCTAAAATAAAACTAAAAAGGAAAGTAAAAGAGAAAAGGCAGTGATGTAAAATTAAAATAATCCTTAATTCTGAAGATGAAAATGGTCCCTAAACATATTTAAATTGCTTCTTGCTCTTGTAGTCTTATTCTTTTTTTCATTATTTAGAGAATACTTTATTAGTTTCTGTAATCAAAACCATGTAGATATGACCTTACATACTTAATACAGTGCATTACCCCTGTACAAATGGAAAAAAAATTAACATTTCCAGACCAATATGGCTGTTAATTTCTGTACAATGACAACTCAACACAGTAAATTGGGATAACTTTTTCCAAAGTTGACAGCACAGTTAAAGTTTCCAAAAATTCAAATTATATATATATATATATGTGTGTGTGTGTGTATTTATATTTATATAAAAAGACCAATAATAGCAGTATGTTATGCATCAATAGCAGCAACAGCTTTTCCAGGTTCTGCAGTCATCTGAACAAAATTATAGACATTCAGCACACTCCATTAAAAAAACAAAAACAAAAAAACGAAGAAAAGAATAATACCCAGAAAACAGCAAAGTTCTGTTGCTGTTGTGTTACCTGGCACCATTTTTTTTTATTAGCATCTTAATCATCATCTGGAAAGAGAACATTCTAGAGGTTGTGTTTTCTTGATCCTAAACATGTGTAGCATAAATAGTTTGACAGTTTACAAAGAAAATATAATATGCAAAATACTATGGAGAAATATTCTTAGAGGACTGGAACTTGAACTCATGAGAGATCATTTACAGCAGAAGAAAAACAAAATGTTTCTGTCCAGGGAACCACACAAAAAAATTGTGAAGTATATTGGTGAGCTGACAGGCAAATAAGTAGGTGCAACATCCCAAAGACCTACTACAACAATAGGAAAAAAAAAAAAAGATGTCAACTGTGCCCTACAAGAAGGGACAGGAAAACAAAACTTATGTGCTATCAGTATAAGCAATACTTGTGTTTGGAACATGTGATTTTCATATGTGAAGACTGTCTTAGGTATGATAGTTAAAGCAAGGATTATTTCTGTTGTAGAGTTCTATTGATATTGCCACATAGGTTTTTAATTCTGATGTTATCTTTTCAGTTTTGTAAGCAAGTACACAGCTGATGTGAACATGTTGATGTCTTTTCTAAGCACACATTATATATTTGATATTTTATTTTGTTGATTTCTTATTTAGATGTGATAATTGAAGTAAAGTTTTTTTGGTAGAGTGCTATTGGTATTTTCATTGTAGCTCATATAAGTCTTTATTTCTAATGTTATCTTTTAGGTTTTGTAAGTAATTACTCAGCTGATGTGAAAAGTGAAAATGTTAATGTCTGTTCTAAGTACTCATTACATATTTGATATTTCATTTTACTGCTATCTTATTTTCTTATTTAGGTGTGATAATTGAAACAAAGATTTTTTTGTAGAGCGATATTGGTATTTTCATTGAGATTCATATAGGAATTTATTTCTGATATTATATTTAAGGTTTTGTGAACAAGTACACAGCTTATATGAAGATGTTGATGTTTATTCTAAATGTACAATACATATTAATAACTTAATAGTTTATTTTATTGGTATATTATTTTCCTATTACCTACACATTGTAAAACTTAATAAGAACCTCCTGACAAAACAGTAAGAGCAGCGAGATATCAAATATGTCCTGCAAAAAGGCCAGGAAAGCAAAGCTCACATGCTGTCAGTGTAAGTGATTCATGTGTATAGAACATGCTGTTGTCATGTGTGAAGACTGCCTTAGGTGTGATGATTGAAGTAAAGATTTTTTTGTGGAGCACCATTGGTATTTTCATAAAGGAATTTATTTCTGTTCTTCTTTTTTAGACTTTGTACACCAAAAAACAGTTGGATGTTGAAAATTTTGTTTTTTAAAAAAACAATAAATGTTAAAAAATGCATCACTTGGGCTGGAGATTTACCTTAGTGGCGACGCACCTGCTTTGTAAGCACAAGGTCCTGAGTTTGATCCCTGGTACAAAAAAAAAAAAAAAAAAAAAAGGCAACACTTTACTTTTTTTTTTTTTCCAGTTAAGCACTCATAGTGAATATAATAAAATTTAAATTAATAATTCATGAATAGAGATATTCTAAAGAGTAAACATAAGTTTAACATACCCGTGTTTCATTTTTATGACAAAAAATGAAAAGAGCATTCTGTGTAGACTTGTTTTGTTACAAAGGAAATTAAAGGGCTTCTCCTAGCTGTTCATCCTGTACTCTTCTTTCTGCGACCTGCTTGCACCAGGTGGCCCTTATGGGTGTGTGTAAATAGTAGGGGAAGTGGAGGAGAGAGGAGCCATGCAGCAGTCAGAAACAAATCCCCTTCTAGGGTCAGCCAGAGGTTTCAGTGGATAGGTTGCAAGGTCCGCAACTCCCACTCAGACTTGATTTTGGGGTTGGAAAGGCAGGAAGGAAGGTGGGGAGGCAGTCTCTCTTTTGAGAGCACCAGAAACTTGGATCCTCCTGATGGCTCCCAGGTAAAAGATGTGGCTGATGATTGTAGCTTTATTTCCTTTCAAGGATATCAAAGTCTAGACTTTTATGTGAAATTTAAAAGTTTTAAAATGTTACCAGTGCATGTTAGAAAAAAACACTAGGTGAGCAGGGAAAATGTAGGGCTGTGGAACATCTGTGGCCAGTTTGTGATCTGGCATGAAGAATCAAGTGAGGTGGGGTCCTGCTGTCTGCTGCTCATAGCCTGGACATGGCCACAGGTCAGGTAGGGCCCCTGAGCTCCCACTGCCTCTCAGGCAGTTTGGTCATACTCCACCCTGTTGGCTATTTCAGTGGTTGTCTGAGTCCGGGGCCTGCACTGGCCCCACACATTGGATAGCAGAGTGCCTGGCATTGTGGACAGTGGGGATTGTCCAGGTTCCTACTTCCAAAGCAGGAGGAGGCTTGAATAGAAGAGAGCTATGCTGCTGGTACATGAAAGCATTCCCCTCCTCACCCCACTCCTAGTGTAGGGGTTCAAGTCTCTGGCTGAATTTCCCATGGAGATTCTTTTGAGTGGCAGCCACCACTTTGCCACCTGCGGACTCACACCCCAGCCCCCAAACTGCGCTCTGAGTCCAGGGTTCCACCTCTACAGTACAGTTTCGTCTCTGGAGGATAGAAGATGCCTCCACGTTCCCCAGCTCACTCCCTCCTGGCTAGACTCATGATGAAAAGACACCCTTTTTTTCTAGACCTGACACAACCGCTAAGAAATTATACTCACCAAAGAGACATTTGCTTATGCGAGGTGGATAGTACTTGTGAATGGTTCTCGTGCTCTTGGGTAGAATGGGGGGCACTTGCCACAGTGTTACAGATCAGTGACAAAGATACAGCAAGAGGGGGCTGCAGAGACCAGGACAGGGATTCAGCCTCATTGGTGCACAGAGTGAGCTTTTGACATAGATGTGTGGTGGAGACTTGCCTGCAAGTGTGTCCCAAAGCAGGTCAGGAGGTAGCAGGTCCTCAGTATCTGAGAGCCCTTTGGACTCCTTCACCTTCTCAAAGCAGCTGTGTCCTGCAGTCTGGGACAAGGCTGAACCTCCACCCTGCTCTGGTTGTGAATCAGAAATGATAAGGGGCCAAGTAGCCCAGGATTTTGTTCCTAACCCTACTTCTATCATGAAATTTTTGTTAACTAATTAATGATCAGATTTGTGCTTTTGAAGCTATTTCTTATTTCTCTTCTAGGGAACACAGAGTTCTCGTGGCTGGCCGAGCCCCTTGGCTCATGAAGAAGATAGAGGTGAGTCTGTCTGACTTAGACTCTTCGACCAAACCCCCTATTCAGTAATGTCCTTATCTATTTCCTTTTCTTCCAGTATTATTCCTTCTGTTGCCAGTTCAGTTGTGAGGTGGTTCATGAGATCAAGAAGGATGAATGGTGCTTGAAGCGGGTGTAGCAGAGGTCAGAAAGATACAGTCTGTGGGGCAGATCTAGCTGTACACTTCTTTGTGTAAACAAAGTTTTATCAAAACACTTGCCTATCAGTTTATACATAGTCTATAGATTTTGTCCTACAGTGACAGAGTTGGGCAGTTCTAACAAAGACTTCAATTGCCCTCAAAGCCTAACACATTCACTATGTGACCTTTTACAGACAGAGTCTGCTGACCTTTATAGTAAAGCAGCACTGGGCTGAGCCAGCTCATCTGACTTCCAATCCTGGCTCTGAAACAGCCCACCCCCCCAGTGTCCCCTAGCTGGGACATTGTGGGGACCATTTGGACTTCAGTCTGTGGAGCTATGATAATAGCCCTTCTGCACAGGAGTATAGAGATCACAATGGATAATAAACATAAAAGCCCTTTATAAACTGTAGCC